AATAAATCTGACATATCTTTGATGTTAGAATTCAATGCTTTCAATTCAGTTAACAGTCTAGCAATTAATCTAAGTCGCGAACGAATCATTTTATCTTGTCTTTTAAGACGATGTTTAAAAGCATAGTTATTTCCATAATCAATTATTAAACTATCTCGCTCAATAATAAGTTTTTCTGGACAGTCTCTCAATTTGATGAGAATTCGAGCCAGTTCATCAGAAATAGACGAATTTACAATTCCAATAGTCATGCGGCTTATTACCAGATAACTTTCCTCAAATGATTTCTGATTAAATCTATCTTGACATTTTGGTACGTGCTTTCTTAAACTGTCTTTGCAGTACCACCCCTTGCAGTACGGACATCTTGCATAACTATCGATACTTTTTGATTGGCCATTCCTAGGAGCTCGTTCCGTAATAAAATTTTCAGAAAAATTAGCACTCATATTTTGCTGATCTACAGCCGATTTCTTCAAAAATTCAAATATTTCATTCCGAAATTTTTGTTCGTCCTTTAGAGTACTATTTTTCCTCGTTTTGATCCTTTAGTACCATCTAGTAGCTTTATTATTGCTTCGTCTTTATGAACAGTCAAATAGTGTCGAGATGACGTACTTCCAGCACCTCGTTCACAGCCATAATAGCATGGATAAATTTTAGTCTTATTAGCTTTTATTACAACTGTTTTATCTCTCTCTTGAAGAACCTGACCTACACTACTTCTATTCAGTTCTATTACAAAATCGTTACTATATAATGGATTGAGATGTAATAATTTTTCTGTAAAATCTGAAAAAATTAAATTTGAATATCAGCACATTAATAAGAAAACTCCTAGGATATATAAATTAGTAAACTGCAAATTTAATCGGATAAGCATGAATATAGGACGGTAAATTCGGAGAATGAAGAGGTTGATAAGGACAGATGTATATTTAAAAAGTAAAGTAATCATCCAAAGTTCGCGGGCTGCTGACATTCAATTTTCGATTTTTTTTATTTTATGTTTATACATTTGTCCAAAACATATATTCACTGCTTGATAAATGTGTATAGCTAGTTTTTAGCGTAGTTAAATTTCTTATGAATTTTTAATTTACTAACCAATATCACAACTTGTTTCATTAGCGTTGTTAGCATGCTGAACAATGTCATTATTGGTATCTTGATCATCTAAGGACAATTTTTCCACCAAGCCAATATCTTCATTTTCACTTAATTTTTGTGGTGACATACATAACTCTAAAAAATATATAATAGAATTTACATAAAAACAGCGTAGAATAACAACTATTTTACATAAATGCATAGAAGCTGTATTTCATATATTTTTCCGCAATCTTACGTTGCTGCATTTAAAAATTATTACCTTCTATTGCAGAAGATTGATCTAGTATTCCATAGAAATTTTCTGGCGAGATGAAATTACTATCACTTTTATTATTATTATATTCAGTTGTCGAATAATTTAGTTTGTCAAGATTGCGTTTCACTGAAGGTAAATTAAAATCGATACTATAAACAGGTATCGTATTTTCATCTGTAAAGCTCTCATCATGATTTGGTGATGTCCCTAAGATCAAATAATAACTCATATATAATAAAAAAAAATTAACATGACAAATGTCAATGAATATATACTAAGATAAATTAATACAATAGTGGTTTTTATGAGATGATATAATGTCAAATAATTAAAATTTTGACGAGTGAGTGGGTTCAAAAAGTAGGCATGTCTATAGAAAAGTACTAAGAACCTTGAGATTATGCAGCTAAAACTTCAACAAGCTTGTACATATAGCTAAACCGGTTTGTAAATTAAGGTAAATTAAAATATAATTAATTTATTTAGCATGATTTGATAAAAAAAAATCTGTCTTTGAATAGTAGAAGAGAAACGAGGGGCCTTCAAATTCAATATAAAATTTGTTGTCACTTTTAATAACAAATTATGTTTATTATATGCTCTTGTCAATTTTATGTTTATTATACGTAATTTCTAGAGCTTACATCAGGGCCCAAATATAAATAAAAAATTCCAACCATTTTCTATATTAATCTTTTTTTTTTAATTTCACTTATCCAAATTTGGTTTATTTCCTGTTTTGACAAACGTACTAGATTTTCACTCTCTATTATTATATAATCAATTAATTAATTATTTCTATAAATAATTATCCCAATATTAAGGAAGATACTTATTCAAAATATAATGAAAATGCTTCATAATAATATATATGTACTTCTAATTATCAGCCAATCTTTAAAATTTCAAATTATTTTTCTAAATAAATTTGGTAATATTATCTATATCATTAAATGTGATTAAATATTTTTGCATTAATGCAGTATTGCATACAGACAAAGATTTTATTGTTTGAATAACTATAAAAGTAGCATAGTTGAAATTAAAGCTATTTGAAATAGCTTGTTATTAGATAATGTTGATTGTTCTTGGAAAATACTTGCAATGTCTTAAGGAACTATTAATGCTAGAGATTATACTTTTGTCACTTTTAATAAGAAGTCAGGTTTATCACAATTGTCAAAGCTTATATCAGGGCCCAAATAAATATATAAAATTCATTTAATTTAATGAGACTGATAAACTAAAACTAAAAACATACTCAAAGAAAAAATCTTTCCATTCTTTAAGCTTATTTGTGATTCAAGAGTATTATTTTAAATATGAGTCACAATAATGAATATGCTTGTAAATCTTTTAAGAAAAAAAATGAAGAAATTTTTTGGATAATCAAAAACAATACAGGTAAGAAAATGATATTTATATGCGACAAATAAGTTCAACTATCTAACTATATATATATATATATTATATTTTTAGAATTTTCTCAACTGTATGAAATAACTAATACAAGAGAATCTGATGCCAACTGTGCTACTTTGTGCAATTTCAATACTTATATTAAGATTTCAACTAATAATTTGCTAGAAATTATCCCATTGTTAAGGAACATACTTATTCAAAATATAATGAAAATACTTCATAATAATATATATGTACTTCTAATTGTCAGCCAATCTTTGGAATTTCAAATTATTTTTCTAAATAAATTTGGTAATATTATCTATATTCAAATAGTATTAAATATTTTTACATTAATACAGTATTATAGTATTCTACAGAGATATTGACATTATAGTTTGAATAACTAAAAAAGTAGCAAAGTTGGAGTTAAAACTATTTCAAATAGCTTGATATTAGATAATGGTCATCTTCAAAAATTCTTGCAGTGCAATAGTGTGACATATGTCGCAAAAGAAGTATTAATGCTACAGATTATACTTTTATCACTTTTAATAAGAAGTCAGGCTTACCACACATAATTTTTAAAGCTTATATCAGGGCCCAAATAAATATATAAAACTCAATTAAGTTAATGATGCCTATAAACTAAAATAAAAAAACATACTCAATAAATAATTTTACCATTTTTTAAGCTCATTTGTGATTCAAGAGTATTATTTTTCATATGAGTCATAGAATTAACATTTTTTTCTTGAATAATTTTTCTTAAATCAGATTCCTTTACAACTGGTAATATTGAATCAGATCCCTCTATTAAATCATCCTTCTCTATTACTGGCAATTCTATTATTATTAATTCTTCAAAATTATTATCGCATAAAGCTCCATTATCATTGCAAGTTTCAACAATTTCATGAGTGTTGTTTGCAGTAGACACGTGGCTGTTTTCTGTTGATGATGAGTAATAAACTGATAATATTTCTAAATTATTATATGAATACTGATTCCGCAAAACTGAATCATCTGCAATACTATTTATGTCTTTCATATTTACATATGGTTCTGAGCTCAACTGAAGCATCATATTTTTCAACTGCTTGAAATTTACTAAAAAATCATCGATTTAAAATTAAAAATAATAATATATATAGAAAAATTAAAGCAGAACTACATTTTTTTACTTACCACTTTTTGATAAACATCTTTTATGGCGGATATTCGTAGTATTTAATTTTGTAAAGTGTTTCGTCAAACTCAAAATTCCCTCATTTGTATCTCTTACTAAATAATGCATTTTATAATTACGTTGTTTCTTAAAATTTATTGAATTATCTTGAAATGATCTTAATGAGACAATTATTTCAGTTAATTTAAAATACACACCAAATCCTCGGTTTCTTATTGATGACAAAAGATTCTTATGTTCAAGACCATTTTTCAATAATAAAAAAACACTTTTAAATAAGGTTATAAGTTTAGGCGGTTCTTGACTATTTAATAAAAAATAATGTAACAATCACGTGACTTCATTAAAAATCCATGTACTAGATAGTTATTCGAGAACAGAGTAGTGAAATATAATTCGTTAAAGTTTTAATTTAATTTTATTTGTTTTATAAATTTGAAGATAGTTAAAAAATTAATTGATCATTTAATAGTTCGTTATTTAGAGATTAAATTTCATCGTTATAATTTTTTAGTACGCCCCAATAACCATTGTATTAAAAATAAATTAAGTTTTCATTATAGGCTTGGTAGCTCTAGTCCCAAACTAGATAGTGCTAAAACCAATTTCACTGATATAACTTAAATAAACCCATGCGTATTAAATGTATCAGTGTGGACACTATGAACTATGGGTTGGGTTGTCCACTGTCTACACTCAACAGTCTATGAATGAGAGTCTATATTCATTGCTATAAGTAATTGAATAACTGAAGTTAGCTGGGTTTGATAATCAAAATAGGTTAAACATACTTTTACATACATATGTTTTACTTAGAGGTAAAACATCTGTTTACCTCTAAGAGTTATTTTTATTATATTCAAGTAATTAAACGTAAACAAACTAAAAAGTACAAATCATAAATTTAGTGATTGATTGAAGAACAATTGATTGCCATCATTAGATTTAGAATTATTCGGAAAAAATATTAATTTGAAGTTGATTTCTGAAAACATGAATTTTTTATTGTATTGCATTTTCAAAACAAAGTCACTTTCGTATTTCGGATAAATTAACTTACAAATAATCGATTTTTTAACAATATTAATATTTGTATATTGTTATTTATATATTATGGCTTGTAAACAATCATATAATTTGTAGTCAATAAATAACATAATATAAATTTAATAAATTATTATCTTTGAAATGAACCAAAAACTTGTAATAGATATCGACCGTAAATTAGATGAGAGAAGAAATACGAAAAAAATGTATAGTTGGGATTTGATTCGTGTCGATGATGCATGTAAAGTGCTTGTATTAGACCCTTATATCGGATTTAAAACTAGGAAAATTGATAAAAATTGTGAGCTTCCTGTGAAAATTCAGAAAAAATTAGAACATTTATTGCATCAACATTTACCAGTGAATGAAAAAAATTACCATATCTTAAAAAAAAACCTAATAGAAGAGATTGTAAAAAGACATATGCTTTATATGGAATGGAATATCCAGTATTTATCTTGGTTAGAGTGGGCATTAGAATCATATATTAAAATTATTAGTAAAAATTCTGTGATTGAAATTAAAGAATGTAATCGCTATAAAGGTGACTGCTATAAAGGACTCATGATTGTTGCAAAAATGAACATAGATAAAGGTATTAAATTGGATCTGCTCATCGGTTTGTATAAAATCATCAACAATAAAACAAAAATACATTTAGAGGCACAAAATCTAGACTCCTCTCTCATGAGAAGTAGTAAATCAAATAAGGATATGATTATGTTAGGCCCTGCAGCCTTGGTAAATCATGACTGCAACCCAAATTGTCAATATGATTCACAGACCAAAATATCTATAAAAATAAAAACAATAAAAAAAATTGAAGCTGGAGAAGAACTATTGTGTTTTTATGGAATGAATTATTTTGGTGATAATAATAATGAATGTGCTTGTAAAACTTGTGAAGAAAAAAATGAAGGTATTTTTAAGGAAATCAAAAACAATACAGGTAAATAAATGATATTTATATGCGACAAATAAGTTCAACTATCTAACTATTTATATATATTATATTTTTAGCATTTTCACAACTGTATGACATCACTAATACAAGAGAATCTGATGCCAACTGTGTTACTCTGTGCAATTTCAATAGTTATATTGAGATTTCAACTAATAATTTGCTTGAAATTACCCCAATATTGAGGAAAATATTTATTCAGAATATAATGGAAATTCTTTATAATGATATATATGTACTTCTAATTGCCAACCAATCTTGGGAATTTCAAATTATTTTCCTAAATAAATTTGATAATTTTATCTATATCCAAATAGTATTAAATATTTTTGAATTAATACAGTATTATAGTATTCTACACAGATATTGACATTATAGTTTGAATAACTATAAAAGTAGCATAGGTGAAGTTAAAGCTATTTCAACTAGCTTGATATTAGATAGTGGTGATTGTTCTTCAAAAATACTTGTCATGCAATGGTGTGATAAATGTCGCAAAGGAATTATTGATAACATAAATTACAAACAGTGGCATAACCCTTGCTGTACTGGTATGATTCACATACAAGATGTGAATATACCTAGAGTGCTTCTTAACCGTCCAGGTAAACTATTCTTACTCAATACATACTATTATTGTATCTTGACTGACAAATAGACTAATTTATGAACTATTTTTTTTCTAGAAACTGTTCCAAAACTGAAAAGACCTTTTTGTTTATATTGTGCTTCTTTTGTACATCAATTTCCTAGGCATTTAAAGAATAATCACTCTACTGAAACTGATGTTAAAAAAATGTTGAATAGTAAAAATGATGTTGAACGTAGAAATGTTTTATCGTCAATAAGAAACAGAGGATATGGTGTGTATTTTAAATTAACTGGAATAATTGTCTCATCAAGATCATTTCAAGATAATTCAATAAATTTTAAGAAACAGTGTAAAAAGTGTGATAGTTTTTTTTCTGTAAAGACGTTCTGGCACCATAAATGTCCAAATAAAATATAGTTGAAAATTGTACGTTTTAATGTATTCATTATAGTTTCATCATTTATTATTTCAATCAAAATAAAACTAACAATTAAATTCTAACAATCATGTTTGTAATTTTTAATAAGAAATCAGGTTTATCACATATAATTGTCAATTAAGCTTATATCAGGGCCCAAATAAATATATAAAATTCAATTAATTTAATGAAGCTTATAAACTAAAATAAAAAACCTACTCAAAGAAAAAATCATACCATTTTTTAAGCTTATTTGCAATTCAATAGTATTATTTTTTATACGAGTTATAGAATTAATATTTTTTTCTGACATTGAATTAACATATTATTCTACAAATGCAGTAAATAACTTTGCGTTAGCTTGAAAAATATATGAGTCGATATTGTATTTTTTTGTATATGTTGATATGAATATTATAATATATTTTCCAGAAAAATATTTTTTTAAGAAATATTTTCAAATTGTAATCTTCTAAATCTGATGAGAAAATAAACAAGGCAAGTATTTTTAATAGCTATCTAGACATTTAAAAAAATAATTTTTTAAAGTAAAGCCAGAGTTTTCGTATTACACTTTTATATTTTGATGTAAAACTAAGTATAATTATGATAAAATTACAAAAATTAGCAATAACAATATAATAGATATATATATTTGACAACTGTTATTACAAGAAATTATTTAAGAATATTTCAAAGTTTTTAAACAATTCATTTGAATTATTTTTTCTTAATTTCGTAAAAAATAAAATAGACATAATTCTGTATGTTACATAATTTTACTATTTTAACGAAGTTTATAAATTTCAAATTTTGAATAAATATTGAAAAATGAAATAATTTCAAGTAAGAAAATTATTTCTTCTAATGTCCTTTTATAATTATAATACTCCAAAGACTACAATCATATCAATTATGATTGCATTCATATTAACAGTTATAACACAGCAATCAATATCGATTGCACTGCTATCAATGTTGATTGCATTGCAATCAATGTTGATTGCATTGCAATCAGGAATTTTGACTGCTGCATTCAAAATTCCAGAATGCCGGTTATAGTTTCGAAATGCAATCAAAGTGCCCGTTTTATTAATATATATATATATATAATTAAACAAATGATCCACAACATCACTCAACACGTCTTTAAATAATGTTTATTGCTCGAGGGGTAAAAAACTTCCTCTCCACACGACGTTCAATCTTCGCTGGAAGATTTCTTCACCGATGTTTCCGCGCTTACACATATGGCATTTCTCTTCGCCTTGCAGAGCATATTGATGCGCGGTCGACCAGAAATTCTAGTTAATCAAAAAGATATTCTTGGATCCGTGGCTTAAGAACTTCAAGATACATATAGTAGTTTACAGAAACGCCACGCTGGTAAAGGACGAGCGCACTGTATGCAATTATCATAAGTTAAAAAATCCATGAAACCTCGTCCTCCGTAGGGCAAGTGGACGAATTGTGCATATGCTCTTCCACGCTCAACTTGTTCCCCTTGATGACACCATATAATCTAGTCACTTCTGTGTCTCCGCTCGATTGCTTTCTTCACGCGGTCGTGGAACAAATTTTACATACTGTTGACGGTCGTTATCATATCTCAACTCCCATCTTTTCATAAAAATCCGCAGGTATTCATTTCTCACGTCTGTTCTAGGAGCTAACGACAGGAGAAGATCGTAGCCCATCATTCGAGCGGAAAGTTCCGATGCTTTTCGATAGTCCGCACAGTTTTCGTAACACATCTGACCCAAAACTTGACCTTGGTTTGTTGAATTACCTGTTCTGGACGGCCGCCTCATCTTAACTGCTTCACTATTCAACCACATGACGATTCCACGTCGATACATCTCAGGCAACATGACACCTTCGTAGGGTTCCGGGCTATGATTATATAAGTTTAATGGGTTACTCAGTATTCCTTCTTCAGTGATGACAAATCCATGGTCTTCTCCGAGGGTAGACTCTAACTTTTTTTCGCGATATACAAGACTATAGGATCACTAAGATCAATTATACCATCGTTAATCCCTGCTCGACTTAGATCGTGTATTGCCGCGAAACATTTTTCACACTTATTACAATTTTTGTAAGTAATACTTTTTCATAAATTTTACATAATGGATCTAATACATCATGTTTATAGTTAATCATATGTAAGTTTCTTTTCTTTATGTAACGATTAAAAGGATCGATGAGTATTTTGATATAACACGACGCAGACATTACATATTTATAGCCTTTTTCTATGAATATAATATCGTTTGGTTTATTTTGACACATTTCACTACTTGTAGTATTTTTTTTTATTATTTCATGATAAAAAGAAACAACGGATTGAAAATTTATCTCAATTGATTAATCGTTAATTCTGTTGTGTTTGCCCGATTTTCTAATTCACTTAGATTATTGCTAATCTGTTCAGCGTGCATAACTGCCTGCTGTAATGAACTATAAAATTTGTATGGACACATATATCTCTATATGTCTTTGTTTAGGTATTCTACAAAATACATTGTTGCTAATTATTGTCTTTTTTCCGTAGTGTCTGTTACTTCGTCTAATTGTAACTGAGCTAAATGGTCTGCAATCTTGTATGATTTTAATAAGCTGATAGCCCTTTTTCCAAATTTATAAGTTGATTCGTTACTCCTTTGTAAGTAAGTCATACTTAATAATTTTGTCTTTATGCAAAATAAATTCTCTGATAATTCAATTTTTTCTGTATTATTCATAATGAAAAATGTTCACGCAATATATTGGATATAATTATTTACTAACATGTATATGTTGTAACGAGTGTCACTCGTTAAAGGTGAAACCTAAGCGCCTCTATCGCGTGGGGCGACGTAAAAGCCGTGAAAAAAAAAACCAGAGAAGGAGAAGCGCCCGCCGTGCGCGACAAAGGAGTGAGGAATGCGTACGATTAGTCTAGTCCGGACCTGCGGGCAAGAAAAACGCGAGTGAGTGCATTGGAAATTGAAGGAGCTTCCCGACCGGTATTGCGCGAAGACTCGGTAGTTATTAAGGTCGCTGAGAAATCCCGCCTCAGGGAAAAGTCATTCGCTGCCCATTACAGCCAGTTACCCAGAGCGACCTGAGGTAACAGTCGAGAATCGCGGGCAACTGCGAACCCGGGCAGGGAATACCTTGACTGGAAGGCGTGCCGCGAGGAAGGGCCGGAAGCCGACGCAACTCGCAAATACCGTCGAGGATACCCTTGGCAGCAGCAACTCGACCCCGCAGCGTAAGTTCCCGACATTAATTGTAAGTGCGCGCGGACAGAAAGCGAAATTAGATAGTGCGCGTCTTTCTCTCTCTCATCGCGAGAGCGATATACCCTGCGAAATCTCTCGACCACGGCGTTACCTTTGTATGACCTAACGCGGCAAAGGAGAATAAATTTGTAAATCTTGCGACAACTGGCTGAGACTTTCCTTTCAAACTCCCTTTGGTTTTCCTCTCCTATCGCCCATAACAGAACCTGCCCGACCTTGAGTCACTGGGCAACCCGGAATCGCCGCATGTGTCCTCCACGTGTGGGCCTTCTCGGGCTCTAGGGCGAGAGGTCAGAAGATCGAGCTGATCCGAACGAGCTGATCGAGATGGCGGTCAGCCTCGCAACGCAAGGAACATCCTTTCTCTAACGGGTGAGATTTCTATTCGCGCCCCGAAAGAAATACCCCGTTACAATGTTTGTTATAAGATTGCAAAAAAAATGTCTAATTTTTATATCAATATTTTTTACTCTTCCCTATCTGAATCTATCTTGTAATACGGGATAGAGTCTAGTATCCACCAAGCGGTTTTCTACATGCTGCGTGTTAGGTTTAAAGCTACACTCGATAACTTTTACTTTCAATGATGATGCGTCTGGGGAACTCGGAGAAGTTGGTGAATTCGGAGGGGCGATTGGATAGTTCCTGTTGGCCACTGATCTCTGCCCGATATTGCTTTGATTCTTATCTCGTTCCCGTTCTTCCGTAGTAGTCCGAACTAGATGGACAAGTAAATTGGTCAGTGAATTCTACACTGTACCTATTATTTTAATAGACTATCAGAAAAGCGATTACACCGCGTATCCATGAATGATTGTATCAAGTATAAACTTTATCACGCGAAAAAGCATAATTACGGAAATAATACCTGCGCTTACTGAGCCAAAATTCATAAATCTTCCCCATAATTTTAACCATGTAGATTCAGCTAAATTTTCCAGCGCTTTTTCGTCAAGCATATGATAAAATGACAATTCTGTTCTGGGAGGTCCGTTCAGTAACACACTCTTTGCTACTTTATTTAAAATCGCGACTTGTTCGTTTTGAAACATGATATAACTTTTTAATTGTTCAATATCTGACAAACTATAAATTCCGCTGTTTGTTATATCGATGGGTGCTAAATATTTCCATGCTTGTTTTGTTCGTGGCTTTAAAACTTCTAGTTCGTCACTAAAACAGGTCGGTCATGGTAACATTTTAGACCACCCACTTCCTACCTTAAACATTATTGGTACTGTCTCATTACAAGCTGTCACTGTACTGAAAAGTTTTAATGTGTGCGTGCACGGTGTCATGAACATAGGTCTTCCATCGCGTTCTGTAGGCAATTCCTAATAGCACGATGAAGAGTTTCTTGAGCGTACGTCTACAGGTAAGCACTTAATTATATGAATGACCTCGCCTGGGAGTAAGCACGTATAGCCTGGTACTAACTAATACTAACTAACCTGGAACTAACCGTCGCGATATTTAGTGTATTCATTATCACTTTCTTTTCTTACTCACACTGTTGATATAACACGTCATAATATAATTTTTGTAACCTTTTTCTTACATGTTTCTAAAAAAAAAGTATCTTTGCATTGAAGTATGCAAATAAGTTAATATTTTTGATATTTTTTTCTTTTATCGCCGGAAAGATATGTTTATTTTCATGTTCAAGGATGAAAATTCTCGGATGTTCCGTTCTAGTTAAA